ATAATTGTATAGTATGTCTATGATTGCCGTAAGTCAAATAAACCTGGTTAATTTTTCCATGCACACCACATAAACAACACTAATTTCTTTAAAATCCTCCTAAAACATGGCGGAACGTCTGCGCGGAGGAGATGCGCGTACTTAATTTTCCGTGGAGAGTGAGTATTCTGTTTGTTTATTATTCTGTGACCATGCCCTGTGAATGGACTCAAGGCGTGATATGCCCCGTTGCATGAAAAAGGCGATTAGCTCCAATGCGACAACTACAGAAGTATAACCCTATTAATAAATGCTTACAAAATACCAGCAAATATTCTCTACCAAAGGCTACAAGTTTACACAGTTGGTATAGTTAGAAAATACCAAGCTACATTTTTTTCAAAAAAATCAACAATTGACCAGATTCATTGAATAATACAAATCTTCGAGAAAATATCAAATAGCGAAATTTAGCATTTAAACCAATCACCTATTGTCGACTTCAAGGCCGCATATTATAGTGCCAAGAGAACAGTACTATACAAATCAATACGTAAGCTTGATATACCAGAAAAACTTAAATTACCTTAACTTACTGATTAACGAGAATGGCACTGTCTAATTTAAAAGCCAGCGTTATAATACAGGGAGGAAGTTCTCGTTCCTTTAAGATAAAGGATAGACTTATACAAGCGGATACCCTGGCTTGCCTCCTACGAAACATCGGCAAAACAGGTCGGTCTGGTCCTAAAAGAATACAAAACGAAGTACATGCTGGTTGCTAGGGATCCTATAGCAAATAAGGAACGGGAACAGCATTTGGAAGTCATATCTTTGAACGTGTTGACAGCTTCACATACCTTGGCTCGCTAGTGACTACTATCAATAAAATAAGCAAAGAAATTAAAAGACAAATAAACATTACAAGCACACTATGGACTAACAAAAACAATTCCACTCAAGAAATATTCGAAGAAAAAAAATTATTATATGCGAAACAATGTTGAAGCTGGTTTCTACATACGAGGCCAAAATATGGACTCTTACGCAGAAGAAAGAAACACTTTTGGGAATATTCGAGCGTAAAATACTCCGCAAAATATTTGAAAAACCAGATGTCGTAACGTTTATTAACATACAGCGACTTGGATGGGGAGGACACATTCTACGAATGCGATAACATGATTGCTAAAAAAGGTAAGGAGAAGAACAACACCTAGGTTACAACAGCTAGGCCGAAACGCAAATTAGGTGGTTAGATGGAGTTGACACCGACTAAGGGATACTTTTTTTTTTAAATATGCTAAAACCTCCCAAGTTGAAGATGTCGAGTATCAATACGAAATTACCCCCAGGTGAGTAGAGTTATACATTCAGAATCTCACACTGAGCAATCAGTCAGCCTTATGGATTCTGGGGGAGGCAAATATTCGACTGAATCTAATAAGAAAAACTACCCACCTTGCTTCGTATAAGCCACTTACAATATAAGAACTATGAGGACCCAAGAACACCTTGACGAACCAGAACAAGAGCTCTCAAATATCAAATGGGATATAATTGGACTGTGCGAAACTCGCTTACCAGGAGAAGCATGTACCATCTTAAAATCTGGTCACCAACTATACCAGAAAAACTCCGTAGAAAATCATCACATAGGCGGTGTAGCGTTCCTAGTAAACAAACGAACTCCCTATAAAATAACGAAGTACTGTGCTGTATCAAACAGAGTCATATATCTTGTCATCGCTTTAAACAGCAGATACAGCTTACAGATAATACATGGATATGCACTGACAAGAAACTCAACAGACGAGGAAGCTGAATCATTCTACGAGGATCTGACAACAGCAAGGAACCAAGAAAAATCACACTTCGTAATAATCACAGGAGATTTTAATGCAAAAATTGGTACAAAAGAAGACGGCGACACACAATATATCGGTCGCTTTGGGCTGGACAACAGGAACGAAAGGGGTGAGATGTTGTACAACTACTTAAACAACGAAAATTTATTTTGTCTCAACACTTTCTTTAAAAAATCTAAACAACGTAAATGGACATGGATCAGCCCAGACAAGAAAACTAAGAACGAAATAGACTACATACTCTCCAATAACAAAAACATATGCACCGACGTGACAGTACTAAACAAATTCTATACCGGGAGTGACCATAGATTGGTTAGAGCGAACATTAAAATACAGACGAGAGTAGAACGAAGCAAACTTATTAAACGAGAACGATACCCAACCACCGATGTCCTGTCTTCAAAAACAAACGGAATACCAAAAAGAACTAAGCACAAGACTAAAATCAATAGAGACACTGAAACAATTGGATATAAACGGACTAGCCACTAAAATAAAAGTAACTGTAACAACATCGGTTAAGAAAATATGCTCAAACACGAAAACAGCCAAAACATCTAAACTCCAACCTAATACAATTAAACTACTCCAAGAAAGACGAAACAGAACAGATCGAACTTCGGACAGCTTTAAAAGTTTAAACAAAAATGTGAAGAAAGAAATCAGGAACGATCATAGAAACTATAATAACAATCTAATAAAAAATATAATACAAGATAACTGCAACATGAAAGTACTCAAAGCAAAAAACTCAAGCGGCACAACAAAAATCATAGAAATAAAAAATGAGAAAAACGTCACCGTCAGAGACAGAAAGGAAATAAGCGAGGCCATTGAAAAATTCTACACTAAACTATACTCGGTAAATACACAACCACAACAACGACGTACTCAACGAACAATAATTAACACCGGCTCAGAAGAAATACCGGACATAACCGACTATGAAATAAGAATGGCCCTAAATCAACTTAAAACGAATAAATGTCCGGGAGAGGATAAGATTACAGTTGAAATGTTGAAAATTGGTGGCAGAAAAATGGAACAGGTATTAAATGTTTTATTTAATAAAGTAATTGATGAAGGAAAGATTCCTCAAGAATGGTACAACTCCGAGGTCATTTTATATTCAAGAAAGGAAACAGAGCAAACATCGAGAATTACCGACCAATATCCTTGCTATCACATCTGTATAAATTACTAACTAAAATCATAACCAACCGCCTAACACATAAGCTCGATTTCTATCAACCTATCGAGCAGGCTGGATTCAGAAAACATTTTAATACCATAGACCACTTGCACACCGTAAGAACACTGATAGAAAAATGCACCGAGTATAATGTTCCAATTCATATGGCGTTCGTCGATTTCCACAAAGCATTCGATTCCATCGAATTATGGGCAGTGCTTGAATCTCTAGAAAATGCACGCATAGATTCAAGATACATTAACATAATTAAAAACATATATGAAAATGCCACCATGCATATAAAGCTGGACGAAAGCACAAAAACTAATCCCATAAGACTACAACGGGGAGTAAGACAAGGAGACACCATCTCTCCCAAACTATTTACCCTTGCTCTAGAAGATATTTTTAAGAAACTGGAATGGAACAATAAGGGTATCAACGTCGACGGATCATACTTAAACCATTTGAGATTCGCAGATGACATAGTTTTAATAGCCGATAATATCCAAGAACTAAATGATATGTTACAACAATTAAATGCAGTTTCAGGAGCGGTAGGCTTAAAAATGAATTACAGCAAAACAAAAATACTGAGCCGAGACCAGACAAATATAACAATACAAAATCATACCATAGAAAATGTGGAACATTATGTATATCTAGGTCATGTTATCAAACTAGGAAAACCAAATCAAGATGCTGAAATTAAAAGAAGAACACAACTGGCTTGGGGCGCTTTCGGCAAACTAGCACATATCTTGAAAAACACCTCCATTCCTATAAACTTAAAGAAAAAGGTGTATAACACATGCATACTACCTGTTTGTTCCTACGGCTTGGAGACAGTAGCACTTACCAAAAAATCTGCCAAAAAATTAGAAACAACGCAAAGAGCAATGGAACGAATCATGCTTGGAATATCACTAAGAGACAAGATTAGAAACACCGAGATACGACGTAGAACGAAGATTAAGGATATTGTGGAAGAAATTACAAAAATGAAATGGCGCTGGGCAGGTCACGTAGCCCGATATAATGACAACAGGTGGACACGGAGAATTCTAGAATGGAGACCAAGGACGACAACAAGAAGCATGGGAAGACCTCAAAAAAGATGGGTAGATGACATAAGAGCAGTGGCAGGCAAACAGTGGATTAGATTGGCGCAAGATAGAGAAAGATGGAAGCAATTGGGAGCGACCTACATTCAGGAGTGGATGGAAAATGGTTGACAAAGAAGAAGGGATACTAGAGATCAGAAGATGGCAACACCTTGCCAGAAACCAAACAGAATGGTGACTAATCTTAGAGCAGGCCAGAATCCACTGAAGATTGTCGAGCCAAAGATGATGATGATGAGGATCTAATCAAAACCAACCTAATCAACCTAATTAATTTTTTCCTGCAAGCTTCACCATAGTCTACCATAGTCTAACATAATCAAAACTCTGAATAGATTCTTTTACACATTAAAAATCTTTTTTTATAGCCTCTAAGCAAATATTAGAAAAAGTGGTATAAGGTTGTACAAATTTTAACCATAAAACAAGTAAATTTTGATAGTCGATATCTTGCTGCTTGCTAGGCGAACCACAAAAATCCTTATAGACTAGTAATCAGAGTCATTAAGCTAGAAAATGTACTTTTTAAAAAGAAATTAACTTGAAAGTATTAAGAAGTATTTGCCATTATTTTATATGTTGACAACTTATTCATCGATGCTATTGGGAACAAACATTTTTAACGAAGAAGGATGTCATATTCGTATTCAGCATACATGTAACGGCAAAAAAAAACAAAATAAAATTATTCATTTTAATTTTAACTCCATTATAAATGGGTGTCATTTTGACGATATATAGATTTAGTAATATGCCAATTAAAAAAAAGTGTTTTGTATTTTTTTTTCAATATTAAAACAGAGTAAATATTTAATCATTTTATTTTGGTTGCAGGTGACAATCGAGATCTTAGGTTACCTCCAACAGCTTTTAGGCAGGCTTCCGACTTTTTAATTTCTTCTACTGAATTCACAATCGTTGCTATGTTAAAACAAGTCCCTGGGAACCCCGGAACCATCATTTCATTTTCGCACGGTGTTAATAGGTAAGAACTATATTCTACATAAGTTGTTAAAATATCAAAATTAATATTTATATTTTATAATAAGATGGTCCACATAAGGACGCTAAAGCTATTACAACTTAATATTAGAATTAAAAAGAACTAATAGAAGTATCGAGGGAATTTCTTTCTTTAAAAGGTATTCGCCAAAACAAAGAATATCCGCTAAAAGAACTATATTTATTTAAAACTTTTAAAGCGTGGATAAATTCAAATATAGTAATTATCCATGCTTTAATAATTTACTCTAGAGAGACATTAATAGATTTCATAAAAATTCTTGATTGAGTTTTGCGAAGAATATTTATGTTGACAACTTGAGTGATTTGACATTTTTTTACGTTATTCAACTGTATTAATCTGGAATTTGCCCCACTTTCATAAATTTTTAGCTAACAATTAGGTTATTCAAATTGTTTTTGTTGTGATGTTGTTTCATTCCATCAGGTAGACATATTTTGGACATATTTCATAGGTTGAAATTTGAACAATTTATCTCTTTCAAACAATTTACATATTTCGTCCCGCAGTAACTTACCACAACATAACATTGAAAAACCTACGTAGTCAAGTATCGCCAACAATAAAGATTCATGTGATTTTGCTGATATATTTTACATTTCTGTGTAATATTCATCTAGTTTATTGTTTTGGTTCTCCTGGCACGCAGCTTCTCGATTTTATACACTTACAAAAATTACACCATTTTACCCAGAGAATAAAAATACATCATATTTGAGTTTGGGATAAATAGTAAAACTATATAATACACCCAATATATAATTATTTTAATTCAATAAATAGTCAAGAAAATGTTTAGTTTATGTTAAAGTTACGTCCAGTTAATGCCAATCGAGTACATTGAAGATATTTGTTTAAATACTTGGGCAAATCAGGCTATGGCGACGTTGAAGCAGAAGTAAGGGAATAAACATAGCTGATAGTCTAAACTATACAATATTGCCTCATAAAAACATTAGTGTGAGGCTAAATTAAGAATATATCACAAAAACTAAAAGATCGCTTGAAACAATCAAAAATAAAGGTGCTTTGTGGCATAACTGGAAAGACTAACTAGACAGATAAACAAGTGAAAATATAAAGAATACATGTGGGTAGACAATAAAAAAATAGAATAAACATATAAGCAAAGAGAAAAAAAGAATAACGGTGAAAATGTTTGAGATATTGTCAACGCGATAGTATAGCCGACCTTGAAAAATGTGGAACGAGAATCTGAACATTTATTCAGTTGGATGATATTTTACCAGGCGAATTCGCTTAGAATAAAGAAAAACGAAAAAATAAATCATATTTCGTCTATGTATCATCAACTACAAAGATAATTTGTTATTTGGTTTTTTCTCGCGAAAACATAAGTAACATACTTTTTTTGTATCATTGTGTACCTTGTGTATTATTAGTATATCTATTATCTGCTTGGTTCTACTAGAGAATCACAAAAATGTGAGCTATAGTAAAACCTATCTTTTGCTTTATTTAATTTTCTACTAAATATCTTTTTCATAGCATTGCAAAATTAGATGTTTTTGGATTTTTGACATTTGAAATCAAATATAACAAGCAAGGCTATACAATTTATGGATCCTCTACTGGTATTATACTATATTATCGTGGGACTCTATAATAGGACTCTATTGTTGACTGATCGTATGGTTTATCATTCATTGATGTTATTAGTGTCATAGATTTTATTTTTCATGTCACATAAGAGACCGTTGTGTATTTGTTCTAAATCCATAAATATTAGAATCAAGTTTTCTTATTTTATTAGGCAAAAATGTCGTGTATGGCAGAAAAGCCCACAATAATTGTATATCTATTATAACTTTTTCAAAATACATATTTCTCTCTAAATCATGCCATTGACTTGGTATTGCGATTTATTATAAGAGAAGACTTTAATGAAAAGCATAAACACTGAAGTTATAGGATAAAACATAGGTATAAATCACTATTAATTTGTAGCCAAAAATATTGGTCTACAGATAAAAATAATGTTTCTGACTTCACAGTTTTATAATTATAACAATACGTGATATAGTTCCTAGACATTGACGATTTCTAGGTCATGGTTTTTGATCATTCACCCATAGTACCAACCGTAAGTGGCGAGATCAGTAAAAAGGAAAATAATGTAATAATGACTAATAAACTGAAGTAAAAATTACGATAACAGCGAAAAGGGAGCTGAGGAGAATATGGCAACAAGGGCCGTTCAAGATATAAGTAAACTAGACACAGCAACTTACCAGCTTAAAAGGATAATTTTACAATAGATAATTGTTTAATTAATTATTATTCCATTTAGGATTACTCCTTATTAAAAGCTACTAAAAACCCAAAAAGACTGATTATACATGATATATATATATATAGATAATATATATATATATATAAAATATATAAATATATATAATATATATATATATATAATATATATGTCAAGAAAATAAAAGAAATCAGGGAACCACTAAAAAGAGAAATCTACACCGTAAGAATTAGAATAAACAAAAAAACTAACTAATATAAGTAAAGCTGTTTTCAGTTTAAATATGTACCAAGGATATGGAAAGTGACCGAAGTTATGATGATTTCTAAACCAGGAATTCTTATGCGAGATTACGTATATACACACAAATATCTCTGATTTGTGCAATATCAAAGTTGTTTAAAAAACTTCTACTTAAAAAATTAAACAGGTTACTAAAACAACAAATAGGTTTGAATTAGTACTGTCACAAAAAATTAGTGAAGGTCAAAGTGGTTTATAAATCTTAGAGGTTCTGTGTTGGCAATCTCTTGACTATACAAATCATAAAAAATCGACCTTTGATAGAAAAACAAACAGGCTGCCCTTGTAGAAGAAGAGGAGTACCATACCATACCAAGATCAAAATTAATTCTATAAGAACTATAGATACAGCTGCGAGACAGCAACAGTTTTTTTGAACAGTGTTCGTCGTAGATAAAATATAATGTAGCTCGTTACGGTCTATTACACGTGTGATGGTTTTAAATCGTTAAACAGCCAAACTATATCTGCCATGCTTGTGTCATATCGTCCGCGTCCGTGGACGGGTCTTTGTTGTGGACGGGACTTTGTTCCCATTGATCGGTAACTTTGCACTGACATTAGCTACGGAAACACAGACAGTTGACAGACGAAGAAGAATGGACAGTTGACATTAGATAAGGAAAAAAGAAGAGTTGACTGTTGACAAATGGTTTCAATATTAGCTAAGGTTTATGCTTGGCAGGTAATGCAAATTCAACGCTTACTGACAGTGACGCCAGAATGAACTTTGACTTCTGTTTTAAGTGCCCATCCTCTGATTTATTATATTATATTATATAATATTTTAAACCGTCTTCGGCGAAATAAGCACTTCGCAATCGATCAAGTGCTTAAAATCATAATTATGAAATAACAACTATTATAATTACTAAAAATATTGATCGTCGAAAAGAGGAATTAAAATTTATTATTATGGTGCACAAATTCATTGCCCAGTAATTTTTGCTAGTCAGCTTGCAGAATACAATATAATCGTGGATTATGAGTACTTTACGCATCACTTTTTCGTAATTATATGCAGTCTATAGTAACCATAGAGAAAATGTATTGAACTATTCAACTGTGTGACGGGTAGCTCTTTCGGGGCGACAGACTCAGTAAAACACAGGTTGAAATAAAAATAAATCTATTAATTTAGTATATATACAATAAATAAAAATAAAATGAATCCTACGTCCCCATCTGGTTCCCGCGATTATTGAACTCCCCGGCGAACGTCTATAAAAGAAAAAAATTTATTATTACTAACAAAGAAATGAAATGGATGAAGTCGATCGCACGCAGACTTATTTTCGCTTCCACTTCAATTCAGCGGAAGCTCCGAACGCATTCGCAAACAAAATATTCTTGTGTGCAGACCTACGGTAATGTTCACTACACAATAGCGATGGGTTCTGCTTGGTTAAGGACAGAGTACGATCCTTAATACGGAAATCTCTCTGTCCGGGTTGGCTCGCAGATTCACTACACCGGCGAGTCAAGGAGCCTAGAGCGCTAGCTACAAGACTATCTAATTCCGCTACTCACATGCCTTAAGTAGCTGCTCTGAATCCCACTTCGTCGTCTCGTTGTAAAAGTATTTGCGCAAATATTGACACTCCCACGGTTCGAACTGTTAAACGATCAGAACATCGTTACAACTGATTAGAGAGTAGCATTACTGTTATTTAATATTGTTCTTACAAAGTTTCAAAGATCCGAAACTGACATTGACCACTAAAAGTTCTAAAACGCTGCAAATAGCTCAGAGGAAAATGGAAAGGTCAATGCTGAGTATATCGCTTCGTGACGAAGTTAAAAATGAAGACTTAAGACGAAGAACAGGAGTTACCGATGTAATTTCCTGAATTGCCAGACTCAAATGGAACTGGGCCGGACACGTCGCCCGAATCAATGATAAAAGGTGGACGAAAAGATTGAGTGAAGGCCAAGGTTAGACAAAAGAAGTAGAGGAAAACCCCCTACTCGTTGGACTGACGATCTAAACGAAATATCAAGAACTTAGATGAGAAGTGCTCAAGATAGAGCACAATGGACAAAAAAGAGAGAGGCCTATGTCCAACAGTAAACGCAAAGGGTTGGGTGATGATGATGATATTGTTCTGAAGCTATTTTCTTGTGACATCTTAAAGCAATTACTATTTTAATGGGAATAAGCTTCAATTGAAGTTAAAAATAACTTTATTGACGTTTCAATTTCCCCTTCGGAAATCTTTTTTTTTTAAAGAAGAACGATTTTCATTAAAATAGTAATTACTGTTAATTAAATCCTAGGTTATCGAGATATAAAAAGTAATTTGGAAAATTGCTCTCAATGTTCCACAATGTTAATAAACTGTTGCAGACTTCAATATATTTAAAGATTTCGGTCTTTTTTTTTAATTTATTAAATTGCATGTAATTTTAATAATAAATTATCATTTGCTTTACTTGTTTTGTAAAATATTTGACCAACATCTTAAAACTATACATTTTCTCCCCAAATACTGTATTTGATATAATATAAACATGCATTAGCATAGATTATTAAATGCGCTTTTCGATTTTCAATAAACTAGAGGTTTTCCAACAATTTAAATTTAAAATGGACTCGTTCCAATAAACCCGCAGATTAAAAAAAACCACCAGTTCACTAAACTATTCTCAATGAAAATCGATCACCTAAATTCGCTTTTGATGTTTGTAGCTCTCTAGAACTCCAATCCAGCGGAAGACACAATCAGCTTAGGTTATATTATACAAACGGGTCCAAAGTGTACGTTGAAACGTTTCCATACTACTTGGCCGACGACAACTGGCACAAAGTCGCTGTTTCGATAAGCGGCTTGCAAGTCGAAGTTTTAGTAGATTGTAGATCGTTATTTAAGAGGATGTTGAAACCAGTTATGCAGGATAAGAGTTTCCCTAAGCCGCCGCATCTGTGGATTGGACAAGGGGTTAGCCAAAGTTATTTTAAGGTAAGTTTTTTTAAAATCTAAAATATTTAAAAGTTTAAACTAAATTGTTATATATATAAATATATATATATATCTCTATATATATATATATAATATATATATATAATATATATATATATTAATATATATATATATATATATATCTTTATAATCTTAACACTAAGGGGAAGATAGTAAAGTTTGTCGATGACAATGCAATTTTATATAGATTTATACAGCGCAGACAATTGGGAACATTTAAAGAATAAAATTAAACTAGGTATGCTAAAATTTATAAAATGGTTTATGAAAAACGTTTTTGTTCCATTTGCAGTTAAAAGCAAACCCTACCTTCTTACACTTATATAACAATTAATACCACGGAAGAAAATATAATTATAAAATCAATTAACACTATAAAAAAAATTTGAAATAAAAATCGACTTTCAATTAAGATGGAATATCCAGATAAATGAAATAACGTAGTGTTTGAAAACTTTAGTTCCAAAGTTTAAATTTCTCAAATCTAAAGTAGATTTATTAAAATATTTAATAATATTATAATGCACTACTTGAGTCTAGAATCTAGATATGGAATTCTTGGAAGGGGCGGTGTACAAAAACCCAGAAAATCGACATATTACCAAAAAAATATTGAAAATAATAATTAATAAAAGAATTGCATACTCCTCTCATTTAATATTCTATGATATTAACGTAATACGATGTGCAACTTTATATGTATTCCCTGCTAATGTACACATACAATCATAAGCATATTCTACGTACCTTACCTCATCACTAGGAAACTGGCTCTAAAACCAATCAAAATGTTCAATTGAGAAATATCAGGAAATCAATATGACAAACATTTGCTATATACCTTGCTCCAAAGATATTTAATCACTTGCCCAACATACAAAATAAATACATATTAATACTCTTAATTTACTAAATATGGTAAAATCTATATTTGAAAAGGTTTGTATTAAACCTAGATCGTATGTTTGTGCATACATTTTTCGATCTGACTTTTTAGTAATGATCAAAATTTAAAAAAGAAGAATATTTGCATTAGAGTGATTTGTTTCATCCGTTTGTATAAATATAAAAAAAAATAATTACACGTAATATACATATTATAACAATGTCGTCACACAGTATTCACATGTTCGATATATTTAACGGGTAATTTAATAGGTTTTAACGGGTAATGAGTAAATGTTTTTTTGGTTTTGAGTAACAATTGTAAAATTATTATGTATTTAAAAAACAACTGATTATAATTCTACTAACTATACTATAAAAAACTACTAATTATTTTTCTTTCGGCGTCAATTATCAGTGCGCTGTGCTTTCGTCATCCTCTTTGATGTCTTTTTCAGGCTTCCAGCGTCTCAGTTTCCCAAGTTTTCAGACACTAGTACACTGATCACTAATCAATTCAGGCTACTGGGGCGGCGAGATTTTGATTGGAGGGTTAAGCGGGCGATATTTTTTTTATAAAAGTTCTCCATTTCGAAGGTAACTGGACTCTCTTTTATTAAGATAATTTGTTTTTTTTTTAATTTCTATAGCTTCTCGGATAATTCTTGGTTTATAAAAGCTGATGGGGGCTATAGTTTTGAAGTTTTCAAAATAAATTTTGTGACATGTATGAATGTGTATGAAAGACCTAGAACTGAAATTGAGTCCGAATTGTGAAAAGAAATGAAATGTTCATAAATCCTATTTGGATTCTACGATTTGTTTGGCCTATATAAGATCGGGACAGTCTGGACAAGAAATTTCATAAACTTAATGTTGTTCATTTGAAATTTTGTCTTTGATTGATCAAACAAGAGATAAAAGTTTTTGTTGAGGGGTAAATATTGTCTTTGTTTCTCTTGATTTAAGAATATTGTCGATTTTGTCAGTGATACCTTTCTTGTAAGGAGGAAAAGCTTTTGTATAATGGGGTTCTTTGGTTAAGATTGAGTGGGAAATTGATGTCTGTGGATGCTCTTATTGATAGTATTTTTAAGGTATCGATTTTGGATGAGGGCTTGTTTTAAACTAAAGAGCTCAACGGTCTACTTGCATCATCGGTAAGGCGTGTTGATCTGGAGACAAGGTATTCCAATTTACAGAGCTGTGAAAACTTTGGGATTAGTTTTTCTTTATAATAACGTCGAGAAATCGTAGGAATAAATCAGTTTACACCTCCATTGTGAAATATATACCATTCAAATGAGTCAAAAAAAGACAATAAAGCATTCTTGCCGTGGGGCCAAATGACCAATGTATGTATTGTCAACATAAATTTACTTTATGGATAAGCAAATTTGACTTCCACAAGTAACACAAATATTCTAAACATTATACTTATTTGCCATGAATAAAATAATTAAAGATCTCTAAATGGTAAATAAATATTGGAGAATAATTTATAAAACAAACTTTGTAATCCTCGGAAACCTTTTTGGATGGTGCTAGAAAGGTCACCAATGGAGACACTGCAAACGGCAGCTAGATGGTTAGTGTAGAGCAAGTTGGAGGTTCGAAACTAGCTTTTGGAACCGGGAATGGATCCAACAGAAGAAATAATAAAGATAAGACAAGATAAGATGGATTCTTCTTCTTATAGTGACCTGCACCTATAGTGAGTTGGCACATTATCTTAAGGACAGACTGTCTTTCTTTTGCGGCATGCAAAAAATCGTCAGTGTTATTTATGCCTTTCCAGTTCTTTATGTTCCGTAGCCACGACATTTGTTTGTTACCTACTCCGCTCTTGCCTTCAATCTTTCCCTGAATGATTAGTTGAGGGATTACGTATTTCTCAGAATATTGCCGAGGTATCCATTTTTTTGTACCTTGATCAAATTGAGTAGTTCTCTCTCAGTATTTGCCTTTCTTAAGACTCTCTCGTTTCTCAACTTATCTGTCCATGACATGTGAAACATTCTTCGCAACGTCCACATTTCGAAGGCCTCCAACTTATTAATGGAAGGTACTCTTAACCTCCATGTTTCCATGCCGTATAACAATATGGACCATACATAGCATTTAACCATTCTGTAGCGAAGATTGAAGGATATATTGCCGTTACATAGTAGCGGTTTAAATTTGATAAAAGCTTATCTTGCTTGTTCTGTACGGCATTTTGTTTTTTGTTGAGGATACCATGGGTCATTCATCATTATTCCCATGTATTTAAATGTGTTCACTTAAATCGATTGGAGCATTATCTATGTGCAGTTGTATTTCTAATAGTGCATTTTTTTATTGCCATACATTTAGTTTTTCCAGCATTTATCTTCAAGCCATATATTTTTTCTACGGTGTTTATTTTATTTAACATCAACTTCATATAATTTTCTTTGTCTGTGATTATAGCGGTGTCGTCAAGATAACGAATGTTATTTATCGGGAACCCGTTTACTTTTATTCCACACTCAGAGCTTATCAGTGCCTCTGTATAAATTTTCTCCACATAGAGATTAAAGAGAATAGGAGACACCCCTGTCACACTTTTCTTAAAATTTCAAATTCTTCTGTGTTGGTTGATTTGTTCGGTCTTACTCGTGCTTTTTGATTCCAATAGAGAGTCTGGATAACTCTTATATCTTTCTCGTCAATGTTAGCGTTGTGTAGCATTTTTATCAGTGCGTCATGTTTTACGGTGTCAAACGCTTTTTCATATTCGAGGAATGTTATGACTATATCCTTTCGTTGATCCATGTATTTTTGTACATTTTAAGCAGAAAGCTGCTTTACATGTACCCAGTCTGCTCTTGAAACCAAATTGTGTCTCACCGCTTAGATCTTCCAGCTTTCTGAACATTTTTGTGTGAAGGATGCGGAGAAACACTTTAAGTAAATGGCTCATTTAACTTGTGTCCACTTAAGTCTGTGGTCTTTGCATTTTGTCGCTCTTTGTAATGTAAGGATCGTTACAAAGGTTGCACTAAGCTAATTCAGAATGGAATGGAATGTGCCTGGTGTTATATATGGCATTGAACATTGTTACCAGCATGTCGATATTATCATCTTCCAACTGTTTTATGGCTTCCGTAGTAATTCCATTCGGTCCGTGATAAACTAGAAAAGACTAAGATGGGTTAGAAAAGAAGAAATAGGTAACAAGAGAGATAGGAAAAATTACCACAGATAAGAGAACATAAAAAAGGGCGCTACTTAACTTTTTGGGGTTACAAGGGAAAGTTAAGAAACCTTAAAAACGAAAAGAGATAAGGAACGATAATTAGGTTCTGGGACCAAATACAAAAAAAGATATTAACAGTTTACTATTAAATAAAGTTAGTCAACACACTATATAAACAAATAATAAATATATTAAGTACTACGCTTACTTATCTACAAACATATACAGCCTGATCCTTCTCCTTGATGAAGATATCGTGATAGTTAAATATTTTTATTAGCAAATATTCAGAGATACACTATTATTGGGAAACTTATTAGAAGTAGAGAAATAAAATTCAGTAAGTAAACAAAACAAAATTTATTCAATTACTGAATCACAGACAGGTTAATTTCAAAAACAAGAAATACAAATAAACCTACCGTAACATGTAAAAAAATGCAAACTCTTTCAATATAACAGGCATAGACACATGCACATATAAATAAAATATAATATTAAGAAGAACTTGATGTTTTAAAGAAATTTTAAAAGAGTAGATCATATAAATATTTCTTTCTATTGTTTTAGGCTTATCTCGAGATAATTGGTTTAAAAGTAATAATTTATAGAAAGTGCAAAATAAAACTAAATTAATTTACAATAAAGTTGCAGAATTACAGAGACAAGATTATAAAAATCGGTTCTACCAAAAGTTAAAATAAGGACCAACCCGCACTTTGTTTACAAGAAGCTACTTGCACAGCTTTTATTTAAATAATGAATGTTTATAATTAATATCTGTTAATAAAAAGACATGAAAATTAATGAAAGTTCTTAAAAGTTCAATTAATGAAATAGTTGTTCCTTAGAGGAATTGATTGCATCGGTAGTT